TCCACCTATACTTTTGGGATAAAGTGTTTTTGTAAAGAAATTTTGATATTAATTTGGACGTATCTTCTGACATTTCATTTTATTTTTAAGTATCAGAGAGATCCATCTCTATTTATCTAAAGGCCCTCAAGACATTGGGATCTCAGACTAAAGGTGCTTGTTTTAAAAGTTAAATATTGATGCCAAGGAACTTGAAAATGACATGAAAGGAGAGAGTTAGGCGAATTCTCAAAGATATGCTTTTAGTGTCTTGTCCCACCTAACTATATTTGAGCAATCTTATGGGATTCTATTTGAGATGGGAAGCGTCTCTGTACATACGTGTTTTTCGCGTAGGCGGGTTGGAATCTCTCTCTTTCTGACATTGGTGCTTAACTGATAATGAACCAGCACACTGTGAGCCAGCCCCAGGAAACTTGAGCACAAGGGGAAAAAAGAGAAGATTTAATATTTAATACTTAATATTTTAGTTCACCACTGAAATTTAACACGTTGCTGAAAATGAAAATATATGGTATGGTTCTGGTGAAAAAAGGGTCATAATTGGAATAATAGGTTCTTCTACTAACTGTGGGAGCTTGAAAAAAATTCACTTAACCTCTGATCCTCAATTTCTTCATCTGTAAGGCGGGGATTATAAGCCTTCCTTAATATGAAAAATTTATTTAAAAAGGAAAATTACTAAACATGTTCAAAATTGGTCAGTTACCAGTGAAGTTCTTCACAGGGCTTTGTGTACAAATCTCTGGCAGCTTTCCCCCTCCACATTATTCCATCTGCCCTACACAGTCAAATTATAGTGAAGAAGTACACTACAGTGGAGTGAATGTTTGTGTTCTCCAGAAATTCATATGTTGAAATCCTCACCCTCAACATGAAGGTATTAGGAGGTGGAGCATTTGGGAGATGATGAATAGGATTAGTGCCCTTATAAAAGAGGTCTTCGAAAGCTCCCTTGCCCCCTCCACCCTGTGAGGTTGCTGAGAGAAGACAGCCAAGGAAGTGGGTTCTCAGCAGACAGGAATCTCCTGGTGTCATTATCTTGGGCTTCTCAACCTCCAGAACTGTGAGAAATAAATTTCTGTTGTTTATGAGCTACCCTGTCCATGGTATTTTGTTTTAGCAGTCTCAGTAGATGAAGACAAATATGCCTCCATCTTCCTTTCACCATTATTTGTTTTTTTTTTTTGTGAGGAAGATCAGCCCTGAGCTAACATCCATGCCAATCCTCCTCTTTTTGCTGAGGAAGACCAGCTCTGAGCTAACATCTATTGCCAATCCTCCTCCTTTTTTCTTTTCCCTAAAGCCCCAGCAGATAGTTGTATGTTATAGTTGCACATCCTTCTAGTTGCTGTATGTGGGATGCCGCCCCAGCACGGCCGGAGAAGCAGTGCGTCAGTGTGCGCCGGGGATCTGAACCCGGGCAGTCAGTAGCAGAGCGCGTGTGCTCAACCACTAAGCCACGGGGCCTACCCCCAAGCTCCCTATTTGATAAGCTGTGTTTTTTGTTGTAACTTCGTTGCAGCTCAACTTCTCCCTCTGCCCAGTCGTGCTCCTTTCACTCACTCATAGGTGTTGTTCCAGGGAGTGTTTTCCAGTCTACATGCAAATCTCAATCTGTTTCCTGTGAGAACTCAACGTGAAACATCTTCCAAAATGATTTAAATTAAAGCAACACAATGACCCAATGGCAGAACAACAATATAGCAGAACCAGCTGAGGTCAGAGTTTGGGGGGATGGGTCTTGAGCTTGTGCCCTTGGCTACTCACACATCTCAAGTCTTGCTTGAGAAGTGGTTCTGGGTGGGGATGGGAAATGTGTGGGAGCATTTTTGGTTGTCACAATATATCAGAGTGGGCAGATTCTGAGGAAACTAGACATTTTCTGATGTGAGGATAGTCCCACAACATGAAATGTTGTTCTGAATCGTGCACAAATTTCTAACGTTCCTCTGGACACTCATGGCGTGAAAAGTCCATGTAACTACCTTAGTGTTGAACTAATCTCATTCTGCATGTAACCTCCAACTTCGTTTTACACAGTTTTAATAACCGCTGAATGTCATAAGAATGCAGTCACCATGTAAATTGAGGAAGGATTGTACTTTGTTATGTTCAAAAATTTATCAAGAGCTTTTCAACATTTAAAAAAATGACATTGCTGATAACATTGCCTCATATTACACATGAACTGCCAAGGCAATGTATGTATTGTATGTATTCATAGTTGTTGCATTTATGGTGATTCTACTTATAGGTGCAAAGATTTGGCTACTTTATTATCTCCTAGAGTGTAGTAATATTGAGTATTTCATGTGAACATATATATTATTTTATTTTGTTACTTTTTAAATTCTTCATAATTAGGGCATTATATAGATTCTTTTCAAATTTCATAAGTAGTTAGGTCAAGTTATCTGTGGATTTTATCTTAGGAAACTAAAGGAATCACATTTTAAAAAAAAATCACCGTAAAATGCTTTACACTTACTAGAAAGTCTAAGATTAAAAAGACCGACATTCCCAATGTTGACGAGGACGTAGAGCAACTGGAACTCTCTCACGTTGATTCTGGGAGTGGAAAATGGTACAAGTACTTTGGAAAACTGGAAGTTTCTTATCAAGTAAACCATACATCTACTCTAGGACCCAGTAATTTTATTCCTAAGTTTTTACACAGAGATATAAAAATGTATGTCCAAAAGAAAACTTTGTATCAAAATATTCATAGGAGCTTTGTTCATCATTGGCTGAAACTAGAAACAGCTAAATGCCCATCAACTGGTAAATAGAAAGATTGTGTTATATTTATACAACACAATGCTACTCAGAAATAAAAAGAACTACCAATACACATTAAAATGGATGAATTGCAACAATGTTATATTTAGCAAAAGACAATTGATGCCATTTATATGAAGTGCAGAACAGGAAAAACTAATCTATGTTGATTAAGAAAATCAAAACAATGGTGGCCTCTGAAGTATGGGAGATTTACTGGAATAGGGTGTGTGAGAACTTTCTGGGTTGATAGAAATTTATATATTTTACGAAATCTACCAACTGTATACTTAAGATTCATGAATTTTACAGTATGTAAACTACATCTCATTGTAAACAAAGATTATTGTGGGGGAAAAAAAGCAAAAAAAAAGCAACGAAAGAGGTGGGGGTATGATTGGGTTGAGGACTGTTTTTCTAGGATATAAAGAAGTTCCATGGGGCCAGCCCGGTGGCGCAAGCGGTTAAGTGCGCGCCCTCTGCTGTGGTGGCCCGGAGTTTGCTGGTTCGGATCCCGGGCACACACCCAACGCAGCACTTGTCAAGCCGTGCTGTGGCTGTGTCCCATATAAAGTAGAGGAAAATGGGCATGGATGTTAGCCCAGGGCCAGTCATCTTCAGCAAAAAGAGGAGGATTGGCAAATGTTAGCTCAGGGCCAATCTTCCTCACGGAAAAAAAAAAAAAGTAGTTCCACGAAGCTCCTGTAAAGGATGAAGAAGTGCTAAGAAAATCAACTGAGAAGAGCCCTGGGGTAGGGATAAGGAGGCTCCTGAGTAGGAAAAACTTGAGACCTTAAGCAAAGCATGGTCACCAGCAGTAGTTGCCAGTTTCATGCAACAGACACCTGCGATGGATGCTCAGGTGGAATGAGAGACATCTTAATGGAGGTCAGCCAAGATCAAGAAGACATGAGCCAGACTTGAAGAGCCTCCCTCCACCAATATGTGGACACTAAGCTACTTCCCTGCTGTATGCCATTACGCCATTTTGGGAAGGAGGAATAAGAGGGGAGATGTTTGAGAGGGGGCAAACATCGCTGAAAGGGAGTTTAAATTATCTTAATTAAATTTACCTCAATTCACTGTTTAACGCTGGAGGAGCTATGTTTTCTTTAATGCATAGGTGTAATTTATTTTTTTGACAGCGAGAAGGAGGACTGGAGAATAAGATGAGATTGGTTATAGAAAATGGGAAAATAAACTGTTTATTTTGTTTTTTGCACCCACCAATGAGTTATAGAGTGTAACCCCTTTATTGGGTTGTAGGAGAATTAAATGAGATAATATACTTAAAGCCTTGTCTTGAATATGAATCAGTGGTAGCAGGTGGATTCGAGGGAGCAAATCCCTTAGCTAATGCATAAGCATAGAGGATATTCTACTAAAGATACCTGTGAATATGAAAATCACATAGGTCCTGAAGTGATACCTCAAGAACATTGTGTTTTCTATATCAAAAAAACAGCAGTGTTTGTGTTAGAGCAAGTGAGGAGAGTTTTTTTCTTTTCATGGTTCCACATTTTTTAATGAAAAAATAAGCAAATATAAACACACGTCCAAGTTTATCTGACATGTTTGTGAATGGCAGAAATGAGATTTGTGTGAATTTCATTCTGAATACCATATGATACAAATACATTATTGTAATTTTGTAAGAAATGTTTTGCTCATAATACAATCCTTTTGCTAAGCACAGGGTGTCTTCTTCAGACTGCTTGTACTAGTGAATACGTAAATGATATTAAATTTAAATAACTCTTGATCATGAAAAGGACACTATCGCCACCTATCAACCAAATTGAGTAAATTGTCTTGAAATATACTCTGTTCATGAGTGCCATCTAGTGGTAAATGAATCTATTGCGTTTTTAGTCACCAGTACTGTTTGCAACTTAGGCCGACTCCAGGGACCAAGGGGGCAAAAACCAAAACAAACAAAACCCAGGAAAACATATCCCTTGTCCTGGCCACTTCTTGAAGTTTTGTCTCCCCTCCACAAAATGCCTGCCTTTGCTTACTCTCTAGTGTCCTCAGCCAGTTGTGAGGTTTTTTGGTTTTCTTCCAGAGTTTACAGATGTTTGAAAGTTTGACTGAAAGGGGTTTACACTGTCATACTGGGACCAGAATTTGAGTGAAAGAGTTTTGAGTCTAGGATTTTATGGATCTTTGGGCAACCACAATGAGCTTAAAAGCTCCTCTAGACTGGCTTGGTCTCAGACAAAACCCTGACCTCCCAGGCAGGAGTCTCTCTCTCTTCTAGTATGAGTAATATTTTATACAGAAAAACAGGCACTGTAGTTGTTCCTGGGAACATGGCCTTTCTTAGCTTCCCTGCCTAACTTTTCCTGAATCTCTACTTTTTCCAGATAACAATTGTACTGCATTTAAACCCCATCTCAATCCCCATTCCAGAGAGAAGAGATTTCTTATTTTCAATCTGTCAATCACCCCCACTGAAATAAGAGAACTAGGGAGTAACGTCAGCATCTTGGTGGAGTAACTCATTCCTTTTTCCCCTGCCCTTAGATTTACAATCGTTTCCACATCCATAACGATGTATGTATTCGGGACATCCATCCCGAATAAAAGAGCCTCTGCACAACACACAGGACACTCGAGAGATCCATCCATCTGTGCATCTGAAAGTGGGTGGATTGAGCAACTTTTGGGTCAAAGAAGAAGTCAAAAGGGAAATAAAAAACTATCTCAAAACAAATGAAAATGGAAGTACAACATATCAAATCTTATGGGACGCAGCAAAAGCTGTTCTGAATGGAAAGTTTATAACAATAAACTCATATATTAAAACTGGAAAGATCTCAAATAAACAACCTAACTTTACACCTTTGTGCTTAAGATTGAATTCAAAGTTTAAAAGAAGCAAATGTAGGGCAAAAAAAAAATCAAAGAATCAAAAATGCATCTGCATTGGTTTTACATATTTGTGTAATTCTAATGCACAAATGTTGTGGGTAATTTTCCTCTGCCTTGAATTTAAAGTTCTTCATTAATATTCCAGATAAATTTAATAGGAAGGTCTTTCATCTTTTCCTGAGAAATCTGTCAAATCTCTCATTCTGTGACATATTCATATGATTTTTCCAGTCTCCAATTGTGCCTGGAAAGAGAACAGAACATGCATTTACCCATATATTATCACGTGGAATAGAGTGAACACACACACACACGTTGTTGACAGCAGGATAGACACAGTTCTCTAAATATATTTTAGTTACTCATAATATATCTGCTATACATGCTAAACGGAGGGGGACACATAGTAAAACCTGATTTTGTTGCTTTCAGTTGCCAATAATTGTAAATAAAAGTGATGAGTACAGATGAGGGAAAACAGAGAAAAGGTCAGCTGCAGGTGAATTTTGCTCAAATAAGGTATATTTTGTTGAGAGCCTTCAGGTCTCTGGATAATTTTACTGTATCTCCTACTGTTTTGGGTTTCAGTAAGGGTCAAATAAAGTATTTTGTATCAACAACACCTGGCACATAGGTGTTCCCAAAAGCTTGAATTCCTCACTGTAAAATAGGGCTCCATGAAGATTGGGCATAAAATTAACTAAAGCGAAAAGTGAATTGCTTCCATTCACTTCAAGCTAACCTCGGAAAGTTGGCCACTGAAGAGATTTAGACTGCTAATCTGTAAAGTTATATTCTCAGTTTAAATCATGACACTGGGTTGTTTTTTATTTGTATGAGCCTTCTCCTCTTTAATCCTATACAGGCAGACCTCAGAAATATTGCAGGTTCGCTTCCAGAACACAGCAATAAAGTGACTATCACGATAAAGCAAGTCGCACAAATTTTTTGGTTTCCCAGTGCATATAAAAGTTATGTTTACACTATACTATAGCCTATTAAGTGTGCAATAGCATTATGTCTAAAAAACAATGTACATACATTAATTTAAAAATATTTTATTGCTAAAAACTGCTGACCATCAGTTGAGTCTTCAGCAAATCATAATCTTTTTGCTGGGGAGGGTCTTGTAAAAAACACAGTATCTGCAAAGCACAATAAAGTGAAGTGCAATAAAATGAGGTAAGCCTCTATAGGAATAGGACAGATCCAGGATTTGTGGGACTGAAGCTTATATAATTTGGAGGGGTCTCTTAAGAAGAAGGATAGGGCCAGCCTCGTGGCTTAGCCGTTAAGTGCACGTGCTCTGCTACTGACAGCCCGGGTTCGGATCCCGGGTGTGCACCGAAGCACCGCTTGTCCGGCCATGCTGAGGCAGCATCCCACATACAGCAACTAGAAGAATGTGCAACTATGACATACAACTATCTACTGGGGCTGTAAGGAGAAAAAGGGTAAAAAAAAAAGTAGAGGATTGGCAATAGATGTTAGCTCAGGGCTGGTCTTCCTCAGCAAAAAAAGGAGGATTGACATGGATGTTAGCTCAGGGCTGATCTTCCTCACACACACAAAAAAAGAATCAATGATCTAGGGAAACAAAACTGGCTTGGGAGGAAGGGACTCTAGATTCTAGGCCTAAATATGCCACTAACTAGGCATAAAAAATTTTTTTAAAAAAAGAAGAAAGATAAAAAGTTATAAGTTCAAAATTAAATGCAGGGCATGGCAAGGGGCCTATACAAGGGTGGGGCCCTGAAGCTTAAGCCTCGTTAGCTTCATAGTCAATGTGGCTCTGATACAGAAGGTGAAGTGAGGATCTAGAGAAAAGGACTGAATGTGGGGATATGTCTGCAGTTAAGGCTGTGGCTCTAGATTAAAGGTAACAATTGAGAAAGCAGTCATGGTTTCTCAAGCAGCGTAAAGGATATCATCCTATAAAAGGAAATACTTTCTGAAGTGCTATAGTTAAAGGATATGCACTTAGAGTTGTAAGAGATAGAGTGTATTTTCTGGACGAGAATATTGGCAATTGATAAAGGGGAAGAAAGATACTCTCAAGTGTGTTAACCTTAGGATAAACAAAACGTACCCAAGTTAAAAAAAGAGCTTGGTGATCTTCCATGGGTACTATATTATGTGCCCAGACACGTAATGAATGGGGAAAAATGATAAATTTATAAATATTAGTTTACGATATATCAAATTTTGCTAAAAGAACAAAGATAATATGAGCTGTAAGTTGTTTGGGCTCTGATAGCATCATCATAATCCTCCCTCTTATTAGAAACCACAGAATATACCGAAAAGTCTATTGGAAAAGCAACCAGTAAAAAGTCCACCACAATTTCAACATGAATAACTAATATTATAAGGGACTCAGTGATATAAAGGAAGAGCTTTTTGAATATATACAATCTGTTATATATTGCACAGTTAATTGGTGCAATGTTAGTTAGAGAATGTCAATTTAGGAATCAAAGATCCAACTAAGGTCAATAGTGTAAACTTTATTCCAGAGGTGAACCTGATCACAGAGAAAAAAGGAAGGGAAGCTTCCTAACTCATTTTACAAGGCCAGAATCACCCTGATACCAAAACCAGACAAGAACAACACAAAAAAAGAAAATTACAGGCCAATATCACTGATGAACATTGATGCAAAAATCCTCAAGAGAATACTAGGAAATCAAATACAATACATCAAAAAGATCATACACCATGACCAAGTGGGATTTATTCCAGGGATGCAGGGATGGTTCAACATCTGCAAATCAATCAATTTCATACACCACATTAACAAAATGAAGAATAAAAATCACATTATAATCTCAATTGATGCAGAGAAAGAATTTGACAAGATACAGCATCCATTTATTATAAAAACTCTGAATAAAATGGGTATAGAAAGAAAGTACCTCAACATAATAAAGGCCATATATGACAAACCCAGAACTAATATCATTCTCAATGGTGAAAAACTGAAAAGTATCCCTCTAAGAATAGGAACCAGACAAGGATGCCCACTTCCACCACTCCTATTCAACATAGTATTGGAAGTCCTAGCCAGAGCAATCAGCCAAGAAAAATAAATAAAAGGGGTCCAAATTGGAAAGGAAGAAGTGAAACTGTCACTATTTGTAGATGACATGATTTCATATGTAGAAAACCCTGAAGAATCCACCAAAAAACTTTTAGAAATAATAAATGAATACAGTCAAGTTGAAGGATACTAAATCAACATAAAAAATCAGTTGCACTTCTATACACTAACAATGAAGTAGCAGAAAGAGAAATTAAGAATACAATCCCATTTACAATTGCAACAGAAAGAATAAAATACCTAGGAATAAACTTAACCAAAGAGGTAAAAAAACTGTACAATGAAAAGTATAAAACATTGTTGAAAGAAATTGAAGAAGACACAAAGAAATAGAAACATATTCCATGCTCTTGGATTAGAAGAATTAACATAGTTAAAATGTCCATACTTCCTAAAGCAATCTACAGATTCAATGCAATCCCTATCAAAGTCCCAACAACATTTTTCACAGAAATAGAGCAAAGAATCCTAAAATTTGTACGAAACAACAAAAGACCCCAAATAGCCAAAGGAATCCTGAGAAAAACGAACAAAGCTGGAGGTATCACACTCCCTGATTTCAAAATATACTACCAAGCTATAATAACCAAAACAGCATGGCACTGGCACTAAAACAGACACAGAGATCAATGGAACAGAATTGAGAGCCCAGAAATAAGCCCACACATCTATGGAGAGCTAATTTTTGACAGAGGAGCCAAGAACATACAATGGAGAAAGGAATGTCTCTTCAATAACTGGTGTTGGGAAAACTGATCAGCCACATGAAAAAAAAAGAAAGTAGAACATAATGTTACACCATACACAAAAATTAACTCAAGAAATGGATTAAAGACTTGAATGTAAGACCTGAAACCATGAAACTTCTAGAAGAAAACACAGGCAGTACGCTCTTAGACAGCAGTCTTGGCAACATATTTTCAAGCACCGTGTCTGACCAGGCAAGGGAAACAATAAAAAAAATAAACAAATGGGACTACATCTAACTAAAAAGCTTCTGCATAGCAAAGGAAATCATCAACAAAACGAAAAGAAAACCTAACAATTGGGAGGAAATATTTGCAAACCATATATCTGATAAGGAGTTAATATCAAAAATATATAAAGAACTCATACATCTCAACAACAAAAAAACTAACCACCCAATTAAAAAATGGGCAAAAGACTTGAACAGACACTTCTCCAAAGAAGATATACAGATGGCCAACAGGCACATGAAAAGATGTTCAACATCATTAACTATCAGGGAAATGCAAATCAAAACTACAATGAGTTATCACCTCACTCCGGTCAGAATGGCTATAAATAACAAGACAGGATCAAGTGTTGGAGAGCATGTGGAGAGAAGGGAACTCTCATACACTGCTAGTGGGAATGCAAACTGGTGCAGCCACTATGGAAAACAGTATGAAGACTCCTCAAAAAATTAAGAATAGAGCTACCATATGAGCCAGCTATTCCACTGCTGAGTATTTATCCAAAGAACATGAAAACATGAATGCATAGAACTACACGCACCCCTATGTTCATTGGAGCATTATTCACAATAGCCAAGATTTGGAAGCAACCTAAGTGCCCATCAAGGGACCAATGGATAAAGAAGATGTGGTATATACACACAATGGAATACTACTCAGCCATAAGAAACGATGAAATCCAGCCAATTGTGACAACATGATGGACTTTGAGGGTATTATGCTAAGCGAAATAAGTCAGAGGGAGAAAGTCAAATATTGTATGATCTCACTCATAAGTAGAAGATAAAAACAAGAACAAACAATCACATACAGACAGAGACTGGATTGGTGCTTACCAGAGGGGAGTGGGGGAGGGATGATGGCAAAACGGTTGATTAGACACATACGTGTGGTGATGGATTGTAATTAGTCTTTGGGTGGTGAACATAATATAATCCATATAGAAATCAAAATATAATGATGTACACCTGATATTTATATAATGTTATAAACTAATGTTATGGCAATAAAAATAAATAAATAAAATAAAATGTAGAAATATCCAATACCTCTAAAGAAAAGCAGATTTTTTTGGTATACCTATCATCTGCAAAATGTCCTTAAATGAAGAACCTGTTTGACCTCCTTTTGTGATTTCTTTATTATAAACACACCCTTAAGAATGCTTTTCTTATGCATGGTACCTGGCTCATGAAATGCCCACATTAATTTGCTTAGTAATTTTATTTTAATTTTTTTTGCGTAGAAAGCTCACAGAGGTGTATAAATTCAATCCACGTCTAAGTATAATAAACTTTAAAGTAAATCTAAATTAATAAGGTGGTGCTTTGTTACAAGATTATCATCTAAATCAACATTAGCTTATACGACTAAAATTTTATAACAGATACATCTAGTTAAGGAAGATTTTTTTAAATAAACATAAGAAAAACAATTGGTAAATAGAAAAATTGTAAGTTTTTGTCTTCCCATTACCGTGACATGTAAGAGACAAGGAAATTGATGGATTATCTCAGAGGAAATTGATGGATTATCTCAGAAGACTCTCTCCACAACGACAAACATCCAGTAAGTCTTACATTATTAGATCGTGTTTCACTTTCTTTCAGATGGTTGGTGGTGGATAGGCATTGGTTGGCACTGAACCAGTGAAGTGAATTGGAAAATGAAATTTTGTGCATAGGGCCAATAACCTTTTCAGGTAAAGAATTGTTATATACCCAAACTCCCACAAAACAGAAAATTTCTATATAATTTTCTCATTTGACAATAGATTAAATGTCATAATTACATAATAACCTAAAGTTTTGACATATTAGTTAAACTGAAAAAAAATATAACAAAATTGAATATACAAGCACTCAGTAATAAATATGCTTGGCATATACTTATC